GCTACCACCACCCTGTGTATAGTTACCATCTGTCAGCACCTACATTCAAATCAGCATTGAGACCACCTGTCTATAGCTACCACCACCCTATCTATAGTTACTATCTGTCTGTACCTAGTCAACTCAGCATTGAGACCACCTGTCTATAGCTTCCACCCCCCTGTCTATAGATACCATCTGTCTGTACCTACAGTCAATTCAGCATTGAGACCACCTGTCTATAGCTACCACCCCCCTGTCTCTAGCTACCATCTGTCTGTACCTACAGTCAACTCAGCCTTGAGACCACCTGTCTATAGCTACCACCACCCTGTCCACAGTTACCATCTGTCTGTACCTACAGTCAACTCAGCATTGAGACCCCCTGTCTATAGCTACCACCACCCTGTCTATAGATACCATCTGACAGTCAACTCAGCATTGAGACCACCTGTCTATAGCTACCATCTGTCTGTACCTACAGTCAATTCAGCATTGAGACCACCTGTCTATAACTACCACTACCTGTATATAGCTACCTTCAATCAACTAAAACTGTTCCCGATTGACACCTGCCTATACCTCCTACCTGTATAGAACTCCCATCCTTTTATAGCTCCCTAATTTGTTACAAACACATTTCAGCAACCTACTGGTAAAACATCCTGTCATAAGGCCTTTAAGTTCTTAAGATGAAGTTGTTTGATGTGTTTTAACAGATTTACTCCAGTGACTTTGAACATAGATCAAAGTATAATTTCTTTTTACAAACTTTGCATCACTCATTGCCACCATGCAAGCCACTGGTTATATATCATAAATTCAAGCCTCTAAATAATTCAGAAGATTTACTGATATCTCCAAAACTTGAAACCTCTTCACCAGCCTGTCCCTATAGAGTCCTGAGAAATCTGTATACTGGTACTTATGTAACAGGGCAGCAATGGAAGTCTATATGTTACAGAAGGTCGTGATGACATGGAATGTGACAACACTCAACAACATATGTAATGGCCATATACCATCAATTCAACCTCTTATGTTGTATCCGTTACTGAAAGGCGCAAATTGCCATGAAATCACAAAAATTTGATTGTTTTAGTTCAACAGCAACAGTTACATGTCAGAAATAAAGCCTTGTCTGACTGTATGACGGTCATCGTTAAACACTTGTCAGTTTAATAATTAGGTCAATGTAAGCTTCTGTAGGCAACAACACAAGTAACAGATCTTGTCACTCTAGTGGTCTGACATACTAAAGACTCGTGGTGAGTGGAAAATAATCCTTCACTCGATGTCATCTCTAGCACACAATATCAATACTGGTACAAAACCCTCCGATTTTTCTTTAATCCCTCCTGACATACCTAAATGCTTGTAAAGAAACCTTCCTATCATCCTTCAAGACTCATACATAATTCCTCCTATTCCCTTCCATTCATAAGAACCCTCATTTATACCCCACAATACACATACAGAATTCCTTCTACCATCTCTGATCCTCATACAGAACCCTAACTGATATCCCACAATACACATACAGCATTCCTCCTGTCACTCCTAAATACTCATACAGAATTCCTTCTACCATCCCTGGCTCTCATACAGAACCCTAACTGATATCCCACAATACACATACAGCGTTCCTCCTGTCACCCCTAAATACTCATACAGAATTCCTTCTACCATCCCTGGCTCTCATACAGATCCCTAACTGATATCCCACAATACACATACAGCATTCCTGGTCACTCCTTTGATTCTTTGAACCCTTTTATCACTGTAGACCATAATGGACTCATCCAGGTCAAAGCATGGAAGAGTTTACTAAAGTCCCTGACTCTCATACAGAACCCTAACTGATATCACACAATACACATACAGCATTCCTCCTGTCACCCCTAAATACTCACACAGAATTCCTTCTACCATCCCTGACTCTCATACAGAACCCTACCTGATATCCCACAATACACATACAGCATTCCTCCTGTCACCCCTAAATACCCATACAGAATTCCTTCTACCATCCCTGACTCTCATACAGAACCCTACCTGATATCCCACAATACACATACAGCATTCCTCCTGTCTCCCCTAAATACTCATACAGAATTCCTTCTACCATCCCTGGCTCTCATCCAGAACCCTAACTGATATCCCACAATCCACATACAGCATTCCTCCTGTCACCCCTAAATACTCACACAGAATTCCTTCTACCATCCCTGACTCTCATACAGGACCCTAACTGATATCCCACAATACACATACAGCATTCCTCCTGTCTCCCCTAAATACTCATACAGAATTCCTTCTACCATCCCTGGCTCTCATCCAGAACCCTAACTGATATCCCACAATCCACATACAGCATTCCTCCTGTCACCCCTAAATACCCATACAGAATTCCTTCTACCATCCCTGACTCTCATACAGGACCCTAACTGATATCCCACAATACACATACAGCATTCCTCCTGTCACTCCTAAATACTCATACAGAATTCCTTCTACCATCCCTGGCTCTCATCCAGAACCCTAACTGATATCCCACAATACACATACAGCGTTCCTCCTGTCACCCCTAAATACTCATACAGAATTCCTTCTACCATCCCTGACTCTCATACAGAACCCTACCTGATATCCCACAATACACATACAGCATTCCTCCTGTCCCCCCTAAATACTCATACAGAATTCCTTCTACCATCCCTGGCTCTCATACAGATCCCTAACTGATATCCCACAATACACATACAGCATTCCTCCTGTCACTCCTAAATACTCATACAGAATTCCTTCTACCATCCCTGGCTCTCATCCAGAACCCTAACTGATATCCCACAATCCACATACAGCATTCCTCCTGTCACCCCTAAATACTCCTACAGAATTCCTACTACCATCCCTGACTCACATACAGAACCCTAACTGATATCCCACAATACACATACAGCATTCCTGGTCACTCCTTTGATTCTTTTAACCCTTTTATCACTGTAGACCATAATGGACTCATCCAGGTCAAAGCATGGAAGAGTTTACTAAAGTTACATGAAAGGGTTAAGTACAGAACCCAGGGGGTCACACTTGTATTATATAACGCACACCTTACTGGTGTTAACTGGTAATGGATGACTTCCAAAACTTTGGTTTCTTCAAAAGAGTTTGGCACCATTTTCCTGTTTCATTGTAATGTTATCTTTGATCATAATCTTTAAATGTTTCTAGCAGAAATCATGCTGGCAATGTTCAAGATTTACCATCAGATCCTGACGTTATTACATTATTTGTACCTGCTACATCAAACATTGCAATGGGGCAAATATTTGGTGAAAATTAAGTGCTAGTTTCTTCAACAAACATTATCATGAGATTTAATTTCACCACTGGAGCATCTAGACACTACGGCAGCCATTTAACGTTGGACACGCCTTCCAATAATACTTCAAGTTTTGAAATGGTTAAGTATGTACTAATATCATGTATGTGATTACTTAGTTTTGTCAGTGTTATGTAATTAATTATAGGAGTACTTAATTTTTGTTTAAAACAGTTATTTACAATAATACTTTTCGATAAAATGAAAACGCATTCAAGTATACCAATGTAAAATGATACAGAAAACTAAGAAAAAAACACAACACATCCTTCACCTCAAGTTATAGTCATTGGCGATATACATATAAACTACAAGCTATAGCGGGTCGAGCAGACCGGGATGTTTGTATGTCTAGACAACAAACATCTCGACAGAGAAGTGGCGATTACATTAGAAACACACGCCCAATCTCTACACTACAGGTGATGAGGATGTTATAATGTACAGCTACGACAATCACTGGGTATATAGATACAATAGAAATACAGGTAAGAAATACAGGTATAAAAGCAAAATACATGAATCATATAATGTGTACAGTATATTTCTATCACAATACCAAGTTACCCAGGGAAGAAATATATATCATTCTTTACTCAAGCATGACAATTGCAGAAATGCTAAAATGAATAAAACAAAAGGCCCAGAGGTCCTGTAGCGCTCACCTGGGCTGAAATCAGGTTTAAGCTAAGCATGCTTCTTTCAGCACACTGGATTACCTTGATCACTGAATATTTCTGTGACCTGTAAGTTCCATGTTGGCAATGCTTATTGCTTTTAGGTCATCATTATAGCCTAGAAACTTGCAATATGTCAAATTTGGCTTCAAAATTCTAATATTTTAGAAATTGATGAAGTTTTTTCAGACTCTACCAAAGTGACCTTGATAGAAGGTCAAGGACTTTTTTAAATAGAACATTAAAGCACTTGATAACAAGAAACTAGATGCCAAATATCACAACCCTGAGTCTTACAAAACTTCAATATATTTTAAAAGTTTTTCACCCTTGAACCCTAGCAAGCACTTATATTTGACTTTTGACCCCAACACTATATATGAGCAAACGTTTCACACTGACAGTCTACTGAACATACCCAAGCTTCATGGCTCTAGATATTATGCTTCGTAAGATAATGTTGACCCTGGCCAGAGCTTGAAATTGACCTTTGCATATTGTTCTTTGGACAATGTTGTTTGAAATTTGAATTTCAACTCCTTTGACCTTAATTGAAGGTCATTTATATGAGGAAATTTTAGTACTCCATCCAAAGTACCAAAGATCAGATACCAGGACCCTAGGTCTTTAAGTTTTCAAAAATTTGCCCAAGGAGAAAATATGCTTGATAGATGACAGACACTGAACCGCAACATGCCTAGTGAGTTAAAAAATAAACATAAGTAAAATCATACTTAATACATTCTCATGTGGCTACTTTGTCTGATAAAAGAACTGTGACAACAACTAACCGCTACGTTAATTTTAATAGATACAGCAGATTTTGAGTAAGAATTTAGGTTTACAGTTATGGTGTACAGCTAGACTACAGCAGTGAGTACAGTCTGAAGCATTACAGGAACACCCACAGCGTGCTGACAGTCTACACAAACACAGGGTGCATCTTATACAGTTACCTCTCTGGAGTGTATCCCATTTATTTCCTCCCCTCTTTGTCTTTTCTCGGGATGATCGTTTCTTTTTTATTTTTGGTTTAAGTGAGGTTTTCTCTTGGCTAGGAAGTGTATCTGGCAGAGTTATCTCCTCGTACACTCCACTGGCTCCTGGCGGCAATTTCCCTTGTAAGCTTTCTTTCCTACATAACGGTTTTGGTGGAACTTCCTGCTCGACTAGGGATCCTGGTGCCTTGTCCTCTATTTGAGAATCTTTGCCATTGTCTATTACTGGTCCAGCTAAATCATAGATAAATTTATCATCCTTTTTGTAGTCAGCATCACTTAGAACTTTTTCAGGCTCCACTTGCAGAAGCTGGTTTTCACCCTCCTGTTTAACAGTTAGTTGTTCAGGATTTCGGTCCAGTAAACACATCAAATCTTTTTCATCCATCGTACATTTTGAATCTTCTTTCTTCACTGTACATTTCGCGTCCTGATCTTTGGAGGGACACATTGATTCAGCTCCTTGTTCATTAGATTGTACACCATCATCCATACAAACTGCCTCGTAGAAGTTATCACCTTGTGTTCCATTTTCTTCCTCTACAATCCTTAGCTCTGGAAGAGATTCTTCAGGTCCTTCATCAACAGGAGACCTAACTACATTTTTAGCTAATTCATAGACAGGAAAGTCAGAATGTGACACAAGATCATACACAATTTGGCCATTCCTTGACTGTCCAGTAGGCGGTTCAGACTGACCTTCAGATGTCCTTAAAATAACATCTGAAGGAAAAGGCGGTGGTTGCCACATGTCAGTAACAGGTTTTGAGATACCATACAAGGACAAAGGGGCCTTAACTACGTCATAATCTGTAGCAGCCTCACCGAACAACACATTAGACCTAGTTTGTAAATCCATACCTGCATTTTCAAGTTGACCTTGACCCTGGCGCTTCAGTGTGTTGACCGGGACAGTAGAAAACGCATCCACATAAAGGTCTGTCTCATCGTCTGAGGAATCCATCTTTGTTCTTACCTTTGGAATAAACACATAAGTTGTAAGACATGTGATGATTTTTGTGATGAGGTAAAGACATTGACTCCATTTGTCTCTTCCTCAGCAGCCGTACATAAGGCAATGACAGTTACATAAAACCAGGGACTCGGGTCGACACCATTACAATTAAGCCGTGTGTAACCATAATTGAAACGCAACAAAGATTAAAAATCTCCTTCACTTTATTACTAGCAGCATCAAAACAATTCAATGCAGTTTTCAGTTGAACTGCTCATGAGTGTTTTGCCTTGTAATAAAGCAACACAAAATAAAATAAAAATATTTACTGATAACAGACTATATATCTATACATTAAAACAACATTTAGGTTAATATCATGTTTTTTAAACACTGTTTTCACTTCATATAATCTATTTAATACACTATAAGGTAACAGATAGTACAGCTTTTGAGAATGCAGCATGTGTACTACAGAAAGGATAAGATAACAGGCTATATTTGCTGTTTGTTTAAAAATCCACAGCATAGTACTAACCGAAGAGTATAAATGTGAATTACAATCAAAGGGAGATAATTCATAATAAATACACATAAGCATTACACATAAGATTATTTTCCCTTCTTTTTTGGCACAGTTCTGTAAACATCTGGTGGAGGTTAAATTTGCAAAGATAAAGAGTGTTTTAAAATATTACTTGTACAAGGCAAATTGTTAAATAGATATTTTGAATGTGATCTCCTATGCTTGATTAAAGACAAAGTCAAACATTCATAACGTAATAAAACAAAGATTTACATATCCCAATACATTGTACACAGAGATGATGTGATGTGTATTATCATTGTAATGGGGAAATTTGATAATCAAAAAGTGTATTACATTATACGGGGAGTGGGAGATCCAACGTCTGTGCAAAGAGTTCAGCGGAGTTCTGTGTTACCCAGCAGACGGATTCCACATGTAAGTACTACATATCAGTCCCCAATCAAATGATCCAAAAGTTAATCATACTCTAAAAACATATAAATCACTTATCATAGAGTAACACTGAGTTCCTGGTCTACAATTAAGTTTCAGAAATATTTGTAGTAAGTGGTGTTTTAAGTTTAGTTTTAAAACCATAAATTGAAACTGTATAGAGTTCTTACAGAAGCATCCAGAGAGTTCCCAGGGAAGGGAAGAAACAGTTTGAAACTATTAATGCTAGTTGGAAATCCTTTCATTTAGAAATAGATAATTAAGTTTGATGATACATGTACCATTGAATGTATCAATATATAAGCTGTTTGCTGATCCTTATATTGCCGTGAAGGCTTTAGAAATATTCTTTATTGATCAGGAAAAGTTTTCAGATTTTATACATATACTGTACAATTCTGATTAGGAAAGCCTCAGTACCTTGCATATATAGCATGTGATAGTAAGTGTATTTTTTTATCAACTAAATCTTAACTCTGAGATGATAAGAATTAAAGCACAGAAATGTAGCCCCCGACCAGGGTAAGGAGTTACTATATGTGGCCCCCGACCAGGGTAAGGAGTTACTATATGTAGCCCCCGACCAGGGTAAGGAGTTACTATATGTAGCCCCCGACCAGGGTAAGGAGTTACTATATGTAGCCCCCGACCAGGGTAAGGAGTTACTATATGTAGCCCCCGACCAGGGTAAGGAGTTACTATATGTAGCCCCCGACCAGGGTAAGGAGTTACTATATGTAGCCCCCGACCAGGGTAAGGAGTTACTATATGTAGCCCCCGACCAGGGTAAGGAGTTACTATATGTAGCCCCCGACCAGGGTAAGGAGTTACTATATGTAGCCCCCGACCAGGGTAAGGAGTTACTATATGTAGCCCCCGACCAGGGTAAGGAGTTACTATATGTAGCCCCCGACCAGGGTAAGGAGTTACTATATGTAGCCCCAGAACATCTGGACTAGTCATGTCAATTACAGATATCTTACAATTACCATCCAGAACAAGAAACCTGTCTCAATGTGTGTACACCAAACAGAGGTCGAAATAAACATGTGTGTTTCCTGTAATACTATACACACCAGTATAGTTACAGAGCAACCCAGTTGTTTATGTATACCCAAACACAGCTCGTACCAAAACACATGTCAGAATTCTATTCTTTGTAAAGATGTATTTAGAAGGTAAAATATACACCTGCATTACAATAATTTCTTTATGCAAAATACCAAAAAAATACATGAATATTTTTTCAAGATAGCTTTAAATCACCAAAACTTGTATATTAATTTGTTTGCGGTTCATAACAGCTAAGATTAAAACGAGAAACTGACAGAATTTTAAGTGTAAGTAAACAATTCCAGACTTTGTGGATCAATAGTCACTCTGTATGTACTGAAAATTAGTTGGGTTAGCACATCTGTCCAGTTTTTAAAGGTTCCAGGTTCAAATCCTTTGTCTGCTCACGATATTTTTCCCATCCTGTTATAAATTGGTGCCTATGACCAGTAAAGCATTGCCTAAGTATCATGTGTTCATAGCAATGAGGAACACCAATCCTGGGTGTAAACATAGGAAAAATTGGGCATTGGACTGGGTTGATCGCCAAAATAGTACCAGGTAGATCAGTTCGACTGGGTCTTTTTTTTTCTTTTCAGAAATTATTTATCAAAACTTTATTCATGGCACAAAAACAATTCTTATGCACTGACTGTATCATGCTGTTTTGGCAGTGGTACAGAGATTCTTAACATACAATGAACTCGCTACATTATTTCACAGTAGATAATAAAGTAACAGTAGTACTTGTTCTAAATGAAATGACAACACTTATCACTGGCCTCACCTGATTATATGTACATATACCAGAATACCTGTAATCAGATAAATACATAAACAATCTCACCTGCGCATCTATACCTCTATATATTCACATAAACACCCACTGTTCTTCACTGGTCAGCAGCAGATACTGTGTACATCCTTCTTGTCTAGCACACAAGAGCTCAATCTGATTACTGGGGTAAATGCCCTCAATATTTGATAGTCTAATATCTGCACAAGCCATATTTGATCACTTCGGTAATTAAATGCCCTCACTATTTGACAGTCTATTATATGTAAAAGCCAAATTTGATTACTTGGGAAAATATCCTCAATATTTGAGTCTATTATCCACAAAAGCTGAAGTTGATTACTGAAGTAAATATCCTCAATATTTGATACAGTAGTATATATTATCTGTAAAAGCCAAATTTGAATACTGGAGTAAATATCCTCAATGTTTGATAGTATATTATCCATACAAGTCAAATATTATTACTGGAGTAAATGTCCTTGACATTAGATAGTCTACCTCTATCATCAATACAAGTAAACTTTTGTTTCTTTGGGAAATAATACTCATGTAAGATAGTGTCGTATCAAACACAAATGCTTTGTTTTCCAGGGGAGATGTACAGGGAATATCTGGGTCAAAACTTCCTTTCCCCCTGGTTACGTTAAATAGCTTTTTCCTAAAATCACTGTACATTTCGACAAATATGTTTATTTGAGAGAAACATCCTAACTAAGTCAAGAATATGCCCTTTCATTACAATCAAAATATTTTTTTGAGTTATGTATCCAACGCACTAGCTAACTGTGTTCTTTGAAAATATTTGTGACAGATGCTGTTCTTATTTTCCCTATTTAAATGGCACAGGTCACCATGACGAGAAGGTAGAAAAGGGCACTGGCACTGTACTATCTAAAGTTAAATAACCCTATACAATGATATCAGTAAATAGAGAGTGTATGAACATATTTGCTTACTTCAATATTGAAGACACTTACTGCAGTCAAAATGTGTAACAACAACGATGATGGCTGATGTACTTGTGCACACTTTGATTGTTGGGACATTGCCAACCTCAAACATTTCATTATACAAGAATTCCACTTTTATGTGTCGCCTGCGCAGGAAGCTGGGAGATTATATATGAAGAAATAGATACACTTTTCATTTCAAGAAATAATGTTAAAAGTAAGTTTGAGTTTGATCGGCCCAAGGAAACTCAAGTTATCGCACGAAAACAGATTTTCTATTTATAGTAGCAGTGACCTTGACCTTTGACCTTCGGACCTGAAAAGCAATCCCAAGCAAGCACTTTCGGTAAGAAAGCCATGCATGAAGTTTGAGTTTGATCGGCCCAAGGAAACTCAAGTTATCGCCTCTGTGCAGACGCCGCCATCGCCGACATACAAAATGTAGCAATACCTATGTGTCACCAGCTTTTCGCAGGCGACACAAAAATTATAGTGTCAGTTCCAAAAACTCAAGGGTCGTTAATTAATACCTCAATAAAAAAAGTAATCCACTCAAACACCTGAGGTATGTTAATATATACATATATGTAAATCTTAATGAAACAAAACACTGGCGACTAGATTTTGTTAGTACATGTACTTACGTCCATCTTGGGGCTCTTCAGGCAATTTGAAGAGTCCAAAGATGGGTAAAAGTATTAGTGAAATTTAGTCTCCTGTGTTTTGTTTTATTTATATTTTACAGTCACATGGACATTTAAATATCTTATTGCTATGTACATCTAGATATACAACAAATGCTGCAGAGAACTGGAGCAGATAGTATGTATCTGACATAATATATGTATGTTTATCATGCTATAAGTTTGTAAAGGTCTAAAAAAAACAATTGTTACTCCATCTATCATTCTTTAAACAGCATCATATTTCCAGTTGGTGTAAAAGAAATGGTTGATATCGTTGGAAAGATGGATAATTTCCCTTGCAGTAAATTAGCTCTATACACTAATGAAATGTCCCATCTACTGGCACAATTCCTGTTTTTCACAATCATACACTACATGGGAAACATTTTTTTTAAACATTTAATAAATAAGAATTTAACACCATTGATTTTCAGGAAAGCTAGGTTCTTCTCCAAGGTTGACAAATTTTCGGTTTATGTTCATGACACTTTTTGGATTACCATTAAAATCAGACAGACAGAGGTTTTAGGAATTAAAGGGAAACTTGGGCA